AGCCCACCCAAGATCTACTGCATGAGAATCTCTGGAGAAAGGTCCCAGGAATCTGCATTTTTTAACCTGCAATGTAGATGGTTGGTTTTGATGTACACTAAAGATTGAAAACAGCCTTAGGAAATCATGGCAAAGGAAAATAATGTCCAGTTTTTACTCCTCCTCTGTGGTCAGGTAGCAAGCTGGCTCAGATAAGAAGAATCCCTAGATGAACATTTACTTCTGCATGAGAAATGTTTCCTCTCTAAGCAGGTGGGTGAGGACGATGAGTAGAGTCATTCCCTGCCATTCCATTTTCTGGGCAGGAAACCCATTAACTATATCAGTTCTCTTCTCAAGAGAATAATTTTTAGAAAGGAACTCAGCATGGTATCTGAGTTGTGTAGTATTATACCTTAAAAATTATTTCCCTCTTGTAATTTTAAATTTCTAACAGTTGGGAATTAGGACCCCTCTGCCTTCTTCTTGTAGGGCAGATGGAAGGAACAGAGGCAGGATAGCTCAGGGCCAGCTTGGGGACACTTGTGTGCCCACCGCTCACCATGTAGTGCCTGACAGTCCCATTTCTGTTCACTGTCTCCCAGCTTGTGGAACTTGGTGGTGTTTTCAATGGAGACTTCTTCTTTCTTGCTGAACTTAAAACATTCAGAGTACAAAGACAGTAATAAGTTCACAAGAGCGTAAACTTCATTGAGTTCTTGGTGTCTCGGTTTCTCACAAGGTGGTTGGGAGATGCATATGTTCTGGAGGAATCAAAAAGTGAGCGGTGAGAGTGGGATGGGCATGGACCCAAGGAGAGGAAAAGATGAATGTCGTCAACGTGAGCCTCACCTTGCAGGGCCTGAGAGGCACAGATAAGCCAAGGGGATGCATGGGCCATTATTTCTAAAGCAATCAAAAATAGATGAATAAAATTAAAACTCTTGATAGGAAATAAAGGAAAAGATGGTACAAAGAACGTAATATTTCTTTGTGGATGAAGATCTTGACTTTGACTCTGGAAGGTGAGAGGGGAGACGATTTCAGAGGCAGACAAGGAATGGGATTCCTGGTTCCCGTGTCTCTGGTGGTGCAGGGTGCTTGGGTCAGGGGGAGGAGGTGAGCCCTTACCTGCCACCCCACTGTGTCTTAACAAGCAAGGAAGAGATTTTCTGGGGCTTCCACGTTGCACCAAGCTCTCTTCCTCCTCAGGAGCCCCATAATTGAAAATCACACCCTTGCCCAGTAACCAAACATGGCAATGAAGGATAAGAAGAAAGGTGAGGGCCGGTCACAGTGGCTCCGCCTGTAATCCTAGCACTCTGGGAGGCCGAGGAGGGAGGATCACTTGTGGTCACAGTTCAAGACCAGCCTGAGCAAGAGTGAGATCCCATCTCTACTAAAAAAAAAAAAAAAAATAGAAAAAATTAGCCATGCGTGGTGGCACACGCCTGTAGTCCCAGCTGCTCGGGAGGCTGAGGCAGGAGGATCGCTTGAGCCCAGGAGTTTGAGGTTGCTGTGAGCTAGGCTGACGCCACGGCACTGTAGCCTGGGCAACAGAGAGAGACTCTGTCTCAAAAAAAAAAGAAAAGAAAAAAAGAGAGGTGGGTAGGTAGAAAGCAAGGGTTAGAGGAATAAGACAGGTACCTTGGGAGCTGTCATTATCTCCTTCTTGGACCAGTACCTCAGAGCAGCAGGGCTTGTTCTTGTTCCATTCTGGGCTGGGGTGGGGCCACAGGATAGCAACTTTGCTCTCAGGAAGCTTCTAACCTGCTGTGACCGTCCCTCATTCTGTTTTGTAGATTTCCATTCTCTAGTTTTGCCTGGTGCTCTGTCCAAGGCCTTAGACTGAATGGCAATGATGGAGTCCAAGAGATGCAGATGAAGGCCAAGGTTTTATCAGAACACAGTCACGCCCATTCATTGACATATTGCCTGGCTGCTTTCACGCTACAACAGCAGAGTTTGAATAGTTGCAACCAAGACTGTGTGGCCTGCAAAGCCTAAAATATTTACTCTCTGGCCCTTTACCCAAAGAGTTTGCCGATCCCTGCTCTAGAGGGTCTTGCACTGGCATTTAAATGCTTAGCCTTGAAGTGACACATGTCACTTCCATTCACAACCCACTGGTCAGAATGGTCACGTGGACCCACGCAACCATAGGGGCCAAGAAGTGGAAGAAGGGGGATTACCAGAATATTTGGCAAACACCACTTATGACCCCCATTTGCACCTACTGTGTGTCAAACTCAGGACTAGGTGCTGGATACAGAGAGATGAGACAAAATCCTTGATCTCAAGGAACGTAAGGAATGCCAGATTCGGGGGCTGGGAGGGGGAAAGCTCAGTATGAAGTAGATTCAAGTGTCCTTTCCTAGAAGGTGTAGACTGGCTCGTCTGAGTTGCCTGGGATGGAGGATGTTCTCTCAGCTTGGCGCTAGCCAGACCTGGGGACTGGCCGGCTTGGCAAGCAGCGGGGCGACAGAGTCCGCAGATGAACATTTATATCAATAATAGAAGGGTTGTATAACAGGAATTCTTAAAGGGAAGATGAGATAATTTCATGTTTTGATATTTGCAAAATTGATTCTGTTGAAGCGAGCTCTGCAGTACATATTATTGCTGCTGTAATTTTGGCAAAGATGTGATTCAAACTGGCAAAATGTCTGGGAAGAGGAAACCCAGTAAGGAGAGAGAGGGTAGGGTGGGCCAGGAAACAGAGGTCAGGAACCAGGTCCTGGTGGCCTGGTGAGAGCTGGAGGGTGGCTTTGCCACAGAGGGACACAGGGAGAGGAGGCTGCAGATGGCACATCCTGAGAACTAACTCTGGAATGGCTGGAGGTGCTAAGACCTGAGGAGGGCGTGGGAGCAGCAGGGGAGGGGTGTGTGCATGTGTGTGGTGAGGGAGAGACATTTCAACATCGTAGGAATGAAGGATAAATTTAAAATCCATCAAGGGGAGTTGGGACAGAATGACAACGTGAGGAACATGAATCACTCTTTCTAGGGGACCCACCCAACTGTTGGCAGGATTTGAAATGTATTTTTTCCTTCATTTCTCCTCCCTACTGGGCTCATTCTGGACCCTTACCTTCTCTGTCCCTGCTCCTTTGACCCAGCCTTGGTGGCCAAGTGTCTAGCCCTGGTCAGCCTGTCCTGGGAGCCTCCAGCTTAGCGCCAAGGCCTTGGAGTGTGGTGCTGGTGGGTGGGGAGGCCGGTCCAGATGCTAGGAATGGAGGGGACAGATGAATAAGGTACCTTATGGGCCTGCTTTCCAGGGACATTGGGGTCTATTTAACGTTCCCATTGGGCTTTATCACATATGCACTAAGATCATCCTATCATCTGGCCCTTTCTTTTATATTTGCTACCTTAGCGTAATGAGGAGGGGGCTGGGAGAGGGATCTATGGGTTGTGCTTCATGTGGTAGGGGCAGCGTGATCAATATAGTGGAAAAAACCATGAGGCAGCACTCGAAATCGGAGTTCTCTCTCAGCTCTGATCTTTATTGGCAGTGTGACTCTGGGCAAGGCTCTCTGCCCTCTCTGGACCTCAGCTGCCTCACCTAGAAAACGATATGGTTAGAGCATTAAGTTTCATGACCATTTTAATATTCTTTGTGATTTGCAGTTTGACTTGTGGTCCCACCCAGGGAAGGAGGGGGTGGAGGGTAGTGTCTGGAGAGCAGCATTCTGGGAGGATGCCTCCCCAGGGGACCCCGTGGTCCCCCACATGTAGTGGGTGCTAACTAAACACTGGCGGAGTGATTTGGATGCCAGGGCTCCTCCAAGCATGGAAAACCACACTTCTTAGAGCCAGGGGGCATGTGTGTGTTGCTTGTGGTCAGTAGGGGTGCGGCTGGGAATGTGGGTGGGGAGGAGGTTGGGCTCCTGAGTAGGAGGGAGACAGTAAACAGGTATCTTGAGAAGGTGGTAAGTTCAGGTCTTTTCAAGTCAGAAGGGCTGTGGCCCAGACCTCAGGCTAGCTGTGGGAGCTCTTTCTGAATCCTTGGGTTTCCTAAATCCTCCTGCATGCAAACACTCTTCCTTTTGCCTATATTTCTCTCCTGTTCTTCGCCCGGCCAGCTCTGTCTAAACCTGGCTCAAGGGTCATTTCCTCCACAAAGCCCTCCGGACCTCCCCTAGCCGGGCTGGTGCTCCTCCTGCGAGCTTCTGCAACAATCAGGACTGCCTCTGTGACAGCACTTCATGCTGTGCGGTCAAAGTCGATGTCCTTCCTGTCTCTCCCACGAGGATGACCCGGACTAAGTTCAGTTCATCTTGGTGTGCTTGGTGTCAGTGTCGATTGAATGAGTACATCTTCTAGAGGCAAAATCTGGCTGTATCCTCCTTGGCATGGAAAAGGGAAGGAGGCCCAGGGGAGCCAGAAGGGGCGCCGGATTCACACGTGCTCTCGGGTCCCGAGGAGGATACTGCGTTAGAAAAGGAGGCAGGGACCCATCTGTACATAGGGCCCAGTTCTCAAGAAGAGCTCACCTGTGGCTGTACTGGTGGCGAGAATGCGGGAGTCAGGGCAGCAGGTGGTGGCTGACCCATCTCAGAGGGGCTGGGACACTGGGAAGGGGGTTCAAGGGACTCTTTCACCAGAAATTGGAGGGAACGGCCGGCTGGCTGTCCGGAGTGGGGCTGAGATGGGCAGCCTTTGCAGTTCTCTCCATATAATTATTTCTTTAACCTCTGTCTGCTGCACTAGACCGTGAGGGCAAGAAGCAAGTGTGCTTTGTTACACTTTGGGTACCCAGCACCTGGCACCCAGCCTGGTACACAGGGGTGCCCCTGATTTCAGCATCATTTACTGAGCTCCTACTGGGCGCCAGTGTCTGGGCCAGGCCTGGGTTGTAGCACTGAGCAAGCCAGAAGCCTGGGCCTGGAGCACAGTGTCATTAACTTCTCTCTCTTCTCTATTTCCCTTGCCCTTGCCCCTTCCCCCACCCCCACCCCTTGTCTGTGCCCACCCCTCCCCTGGCAGAGCAATGTTCTGTGATGGTGCCCGAGATGCGTGGACTGAGCCCCGGCCGCAGGCTGCCCGAGCCCGCCCCCTGCCCGGCTGCCGGGAGCCCTGAGCCGGGCGCCGCGGGCCGCCGCCGCCGCCACGTGCTGGCCCTGCCCGAGGAGGAGGCATGGCGGCCGCAGCAGTGCGCCCTGCTCGAGGCCGACGCCTCGGACGAGGTGGGCATGCTGCCGGGCTCCCCGCGCACCGCGGCCGCCGGCTTCGACAACTTCTTCCCGGTGCAGGAGGGCGAGGGCCCGGGCTGGGAGGGCGGCGCGGCGCTGGAGGCGGGCTGCAGCCCCTTCCTCCCGGTGAGCCCCGAGGTCATGAAGCGGCGGCGCGGGGGCCTCATCGAGCAGCGCGACATCATCAAGGCCCACGAGGCGCACAAGATGCAGAGCACCCCGCAGGCGCGGCGCAAGGAGTGGGAGTGAGTACGCGGGGCCGGGCGGGGCGGGGCGGGGGCGGGAGTCCAGGTGTCCGGGCTCCGCGCCACCAACGGGGGCGGGGCGGGACGCTCTCGGCGAGGTACCTGCGGCCGCGCCTGGGCTCTCACCACCCAGCCGCGGGCCTCGCCGACCCTCGCTGAGGTCTGCAGCTGTCAGACCCGGAGAATCAAGCTTGCCTCCCCAAACGCACCGGTTTCACCTAGATTTTGTGGAGGAAGAACTGGGGTCCGTTTCATACTCTGAGCTTTCCCGAAAACCCTGGAGAATCCATCCCCACGTGAATCACCCATCCCGTCCTTCCTTCAGGAATCGTGGCTAAGCCCACTCCCCAGCATCACGTGTGGAGGAAGGATTACATGTCGGGGCAAGTCTCCAGTGGATGGAAGAGGCTGACCACGGTCTGTGGCCACCATGGCTCTGTCTCTGCTCCTGCTGTGTCGGGCGAAAGAGTTGATGCTCTGTCTTAGGTCGACTTTAATCCAATTCATGTGTGTTGAGAACTTGAGCTTTTTATTCCTAGGAGTTCTAAATTAAAGGAAGATGGCATTTCATTTAATTATCAGCCACCCCAGGTTTATACTCCACGTGAGGACTTTGTTTTGTCTTTTGGAAGACGGAGTTTACTCTGCATGTTTGCATGTCGTGTCGTCTGGATGTTTTTAACTCCTCTTGCCTTAGTTTGTTGACTTGTTAGATGTCATCAGCTGCGAAGAAATTAGTAACAGGTGGTTTTTGATGGTGGTGGTCACGGCGGAATTTGCCTACTTGGTTTCGGTGGATGTTCCGGATGGTGGAAGTAGGGTAGGTTACCTGATGTCTGTTTCATATGGGTGTTAATGTCTGTTAGTTGACGTGCTCAGTCAGTGAGAGTAATGTACCGAGCTCCTGGGATTCAGAGAGGGTTTGGGCACAGCCAGCATTCAGCAAACCTCTCCGCTGTTCATCTCTCAGCGCTATTAGTCTTTAAAACCTTACATAGCCCTCTTTAAGTGCCAGGCAACATTCTGAGCACCTTACATCTATTAACTCTTGTTAATCCTCACCATAACTATGAGGTAGGTACAATTATAGTCTGCATTTAACCAATGAGACACAGAGAAGTTAAATGACTTTCCAAAGGTCACTTCGATAATAACGGCATTGTTACTGTGATTTGATATTGATTAGTGATTTGAACCCTGGCAGTCTGGTTCTAGAATCCATGCTTTTAACCAGGATGGCACAGTGCCTTTCACTCCAATTCCCACAGTACTTCTTATCTGAACAACCCACTGAGATGCCATGGCAAGAGCGTTCTCGTGGGGTTGAGAGACTTGGGTCCAGTTCCCAGGGTGACCTAATTAGTGGTGTGACCTTGAGTAAGTTACCTCATCATGACTTTGAGAAATGAGTAGGAGGAAGTAGATGGCCGTTTGAGTGCCATGTAGATCTGATAGCTGGTATTTCTTCCTATTTAGAAGTACTATCTTTTTATGCACCTCTATCTTATCTTCCTGAGAGGACCCTGAACAATTAGAGGGCAGAGACTATTTACACATTGTTGATGTCACTCAATGCCTGTCATGTGGCCAAACCTAAGAATTCCTGCAATACTCAATGGAAGTCTAGCTTCCCCATGACTAGCAATGTGCAGATAGCTTTGCTGTCTTTCACCAAGTTAAACATTTGCTAATTGGAGGATGTCAAGATCTGGTATCAGCTCCCTATGTGGGGTGGCGGTGGGGATGATTGGGAAACTGCTTTCATCTGGGCAGGGCCATGAGGAAGTGAAACAGGGAAGACACATGAATGGCCTTGGGGAATGGCAGCCTTTAGGAGTGTGGCAGTGGAGGAGGAGCTCACAACGGAGGTGAGAGGAGTGGCCAGGGAGACAGGAGGAAAACCAAAGAGGGACAAAGAAGCGAGAAGAGTGTGTTCAGAAGGAAGGAGTCATCATCTGTGTAGGATGTTGCTGAGGTCAGATAAAATGAAGATAGAAAAGGAATCGTTGGTTTTGACAACACGGAGGTGACCTTGATGGGAGCGGTTGCGGTCGGGTGATGGATGGGGTCAGAGGCCCAGGTGGAGTGGGTTGAAGAGAAAACGGGCAGTGACAGAGACAGTATGGTATTGCCCCATCCCTCTCTGTTCCCTGACACTCACACCTCATCACTGCAGGCTGCTTGGGGACCTCCATGCTGAACACCATCGCGCTTTCCCCCTGCCACCCAAACCCCTTCCCCTTCTGGCTCCGTATGTCCCTTAATCTGATCTGCTTCCCATGCCTCCCCAGCTCTCTGAACCTTGATACTGCACTGCCTGAACTCATGTCCCGTCATCAGCGAAGTCCTCTATGTCCTCCCGCCTCCCCTGGACATTCCCTTTGCTTACTCATCATTCTTCCTGGAACCCGCTCCCGAGAACGCTGCTTGATCTGCAGCTGCCTCCTGCGTGGCCGCTTTCTCTTCCACACTGCCTTGTATTCTCGAGTCTGGAGCCTGGGTATGTGCCTGCTTCTTCCTTGTTGTTTCCAGTCCATTACTCCTCACTCCTGCCCTAAAAATGCCAGCGTTGGAGCTCATCTCATCAGACAGTGCCACCTGCCTCTCCTCGCTGCTGCCATCCACAGGCTCCTGGGGAGATTTTAGCCCTAGGTTTGCTGCCTGTTTTCCCACCTGCCAGCAAGCAGTTCCTGGTGATTTCAGTGTCCATGTGGGTGACCCTTCCTGGACCCTGGCCTCTTGCTTCCCTAACCTCTTCTCCCCAGTGACTTGGCCTTCTTGGTTCCTGCAGAGACCTCACTTCCTGCTCTGCCCGGATCCTGTAGTAACTGCACTGCTCCAGAATCCCAGCTGCAAGCTTCCCACCGTCTGGGTACCACTTCTTTTCTATCCATTCGCTCCCTCTAGTGCTGGATTCCCAAGATTAATTGCCTGCATCCACAAGACATCTATCCTATTTTTTGCTACCTCCCTCTCCAACGATGTCCTCACTTCCCATCTTATTAAACCAAATTCCATTGTGAGCACCAAGAATACTTTCCAGAGCACGATAGTGACCTTTTACTTGAGGTCTCCTCCTGCCCTCTCAACTCTTTCTCCTACCAGCTTCTCAGATAGAACCAATCATCAGCCAAGGGCGAAAAAGCCGGAAGCCTCCCAAGTTGGTTTCTAGTCTAGTTCATGCTTCACCATCATTATAATTGCTCCCTGCTTTCACCCCAACTTCCTTGTCCCTGTGTTGCTTCATTCTACTGGTTTGGTAAAACTCCAACTCTTTTGCTTATCTTGTGACTGCCAAAAAACACAAAAAATAAAAATTAAAATTAAAAATTAAAAAACCCTGCTTAACTCCCACTTGCCACTATTCCTCATGTGTTCTCGGGCAGCAGAAGAACATCGCTGGCTGGCCTCACTGTAAACTGATGACTGCCATCTCAGCTCAGCCCCCACCCTGCCCAGAAATTCTACTGCTTTTCCTCTTCCATTCATTCTCACACTCTTCTAGAGATTATTTCCTACACCTTTCCTTTGATTGTCAAACCCCAATGTCTCCTGTCTGCCCACTTCTAGCTCATGACAAGAACTGCCTTCCTATTTCACTGGGAAAACAGTAGCAATCAGAAGAGTCATGCACAAGCTCCACCCACTGCATCGACCACCTGCTGCACCAGGTCTTTCCTCCTATTACTGGGGACCAACCGCTCATCAAGTTCTCCGTGGAGACTGGTGCCCCCGTAGAGCAACGTGAGCCTTTTTGTCTATGCTCTCTGTCTCCATTTTTTTCCTCCTAATTCCTTCTGGAACCCATTCCAATTAGGCCTTTGTCCCAGTCAAACAAACAGCTCTTGACATGGTGAC